ACCTCGTGGGGATCATGACATTTCAGTTAAGCAGACATTGAGAGTGAATCAGAAACAGAATATTGAGGTTCATCTCAATAAGAAGTAATGTTGAGCATACTTTTAGCATATGTATCAACAAATGTTGGGGCATTTTAAAGGTTCCTTCAGACAGATCCATGTGGGCATTTTGAAGGCTCAGATTAACAAGAAGCAAATATCGGGGTATGCTGAAAGCCCATTTCAATCAGAATGAAGAATGTTGATGTATTTTGAACGTTCGTATCAGCAATTGTTAGGGCATGCTGAAGGCCCACATCATCATGTGTCAAGATCATTGACTTGAACAAATATTTCCAATGAGATATAAAGATATGAAGAATGAAAATTGTGAAACAATTACAGTCAATCTGACTACACATAATTGCTTCGTTCATCAGGCAATTGCATTAGGGTCCTGTTGTTGAACAAATATTTATTCAGCAAGTATGGTTTCAAATACCCAATCTTCTTAAACCATGTGTCACCTAACAGTGTGTTCTTTGTTAAGCTACATCATGGTTGCATGAATAAAGATGGTCCCTTTGTAGACCATTCAATCCAAGGATCAGTTCCTCAAGACCTCGAAATCTAAATTTGGCCTTTTTGTGTGTCGGTGATAATTAAAAATATTTCTTTGAGGTTCCTGGCAGTTAGTTTCAACCATACTATTGAGGTTATGAAGCTGTTTTTCACATCAATTTTTGTTTACTTGATGACATTGAAGAGAGAAGCTCGACTTACACATATTACCCATTCTCAATGTTACTAGGGTTATCATTTTCAAGCTAGGCTGAACTGAATTTTTATCTATTTTGGGGTTTTATCATGTGCGTTTCATCCCCAGCATCAAGAATTCTACGGATATCTTTCCATACATGGCTCTTATAGTGAGTCTGTTTCTAATTCCTACAACGCTCATTACAGAAGAAAATGTGATCAATATCACACTTACCCTTGCCTGAGACAATATCAAGATCAATTAGTATCTCCTATTCAATTCGACACCAGCACATTTTGTGAATTTGACCAACTTTTTTGGTCATACTAACATTTCTCTTGTATTCCCATTGAGTTTTGTTCTCAAGTGATCTTGTGACATTATACAAAAACTTTGAACACTAGGCAAAGAGCTTCAATGATTGAGACATCTGAGCAGAATACACAGAAAAGGATGAATGTGTTGTCAAATGTTTTACATCTGAGTAGAAACCACATGAGATGATGCATGTATTGTCAAATGTTTTACGAACCAGTTATTCTGATGCTGAACCAATGTTGCAATCATATGGTTTCCATTTATTGATCCAAGATGAAGTTTGTCTTCTTTAACCCCAAGATTAGAAGTGAGATATAATGAAGATTTCTTTCCAAGGAAAGTTGAAATTTTAAACAAGAACTAATGGGGTCAACTAAGGTTGAACTACAGGTTGTTGTTAAGCATCTCGACATGATATTGGTCCAAGATTGCCTTATTCGAGATCTGATTATATGTGGAGACATGAAAGGAATTGGAATAAATCTTCCTTGTGATGTTTCAAGAGTTAAATTAGAACAGACTCTACTCTCCTAATTAATCCCTGCTGAGTCAGATGATTGATTCTCTTTTCAAAGATGAAAGCTTTATCGGATTTCTGCACAACTCCAAGCAAAGAAAGTTGGTTTTATCCAAGACAAAATGGGGCATCAAGGTCATAGTTATGACTACGACAAGAGTTCCACAAATGAAACAATTCTTCTGAGACTTTCATGAAGCAAAGAATACATAAAGATACAAGTTAATCATATGGTTCTTCAGAAATGCAAGCTTGATAGCATAAGTTGCTACACTGATATCCAAGGGTAACCTTGGAAATAAATGATGAAGTGGAGGAAAACCAAGTTCACCACTTTGAAGTCAAATGAAGATTGCATCAACATTCATGCATCATATTTAGACATTTGCAAAATAGGAACATTTTCATTCATTTTATCCATATTGAATATTTGACAGGAATTTCAAAGATTTTAGCAAAGATTCAAATCCATCATTCGATGGATCAACATTTCCGGAAGAGTTCATAATGAGAAGAGCTCATCTGAAGAAAGAAGAAGAAGTTCATAATGAGAAGAACTTGTTCAACTTTCTGCTTGAATTCATCATTCGATGGATCAGCATTTCCAGAGAAAGTTCATAATGAGAAGAACCTATCTGAAGAGGAAGAAGAAATTCATAATGAGAAGAATTTGTTCAACCTTTTGCCTGAATTCATCACTTGATGGATTAACTTTTCCAGAGAAAGTTTCAATGAGAAGAACTCATATGAAGAAGGAAGAAGAAGTTCATAATGAGAAGAGCTTGTTCAACCTTTGTTTGATGCTATCACAGAAGGAAATAGATCAGTATTAGCATTTCCAGAAGAAGTTCATAATGAGAAGAGCTTGTTCAACCTTTTGCTCAAATCCATCATTTGAGGATCAATATTTCCAGAAGTGTTCATAATGAGAAGAACTCATCTGAAGAATGAAGAAGAAGTTCATAATGAGAAGAACTTGTTCAACCTTTTGCTCAAATTCATCACCTGATGGATCAGCGTTGCCAGAGAAAGTTCATAATGAGAAGAATTTATCTGAAGAAGAAGAAGAAGTTCATAATGAGAAGAGCTTGTTCAACCTTTTGCATAACTCTATCACAGAAGGAGATAGATCAACACCAACTTTTCCAGAGAAAGTTCATAATGAGAAGAACTTATCTGAAGAGGAAAAGAAAATTCATAATGAGAAGAACTTATTCAACCTTGCATTGATTCATCTCCTATGAAATTGAATGAAAGAAGAACCTCATTTGAGGATCAATATTTTCAGAGGAAATTCATAATGAGAAGAACTCATCTGAAGAATGAAGAAGAAGTTCATAATGAGAAGAACTTGTTCAACCTTTTGCTCAAATTCATCACCCGATGAATCAGCGTTGCCAGAGAAAGTTCATAATGAGAAGAACTCATATGAAAAAGAAGAAGAATTTGTTCAACTTTTTGCTCAATTACATCATAGAAGAAGATAAATTGTCATCCCCAGTGGAAGAATGGAAGAGTTCATAATGAGAAGAACTAATCCAAACAAAGAAGAACTTGTTCAACATTTCCATTTTAATTAAGAGAAGTCAAATGAACAAAAATTTATTGTCTTTTCGTCTTTGCCCTATTCTTGTTAACACAAGAATGAGCAAAGAGGGGCAGCTGTAGACACTAAATTTTTACCCGAGCAGCCTCCTCCATCCAGTAGCCCCTCCACGCATCATTTCCAGCAGCTTCCAGCGACAGCTGCCCCTCCACGTTGAAGCTATAGGTGAGTCACCACCATAGTTTGGTGACTCACCGAACTCCCCCTTATTACCCGGTCCATGGAAAGCTTTGTGGTGGCTATAAAAGCCACCACCGAGCCTGCAAAAGAGGAGGGGAATCGATAGAGAGAGCAAGAGAATGAAGCTAGAGAAAATACCCAACAAACAAGCACCAAAACAGAAAGAGAAGATCGTGAAGAAACTTACCGGAGCAGGGAACCCGAACGTCGCCGGAAACCACCGGAGTTCGAAGGTATTATTGTAGATATATTAAGATTAAATGCTCTTTAGGTTAAAATAATCTCAGATTCGGGTTTAGGAAAAATAAAAAGAAATTTTAGTGTAAAAAAAAAAAAAAAATTCCGACCACCGCAGGTGGTGGCCGGCGGGGGCTGCCGGCGTCGGAGCAAGTCGACCAACCGATGACCGGATCACCTCCGGTGAGAGAGGACTAGAGAGAAGTTAGAGAGAATTGTCATCTCTCTTTAAGAGAGAGAGTGAAAAAATGAAAAATGAGGGAAAATGAATCATTTGGGACAATTAAAGGGTATTTAAACCCTCACCAAAACTACGTAGTTTTGGTGAGGGATGTTTGTGTAATTTCTAATTTAGGTAAACCATTTACGTAGTCCTCTTGAGTTCTGTAAATTTACAATTTGGTCATTGAAATCAAATCCTAAACTTCTAATTCGGTCTTATAATTTTATTTACTTTATAATTTAGTACATGATATGCTTATATATATTTTAAGGTAAAATAACTTATTTAACCATGGTAGTTTTAATAATTATTATTCTAATCACCGATTAATAAAGGGATATTTACACTATTATTAAATATATTTTTATATTTCGAGTTAGGTTCATTAATTAGATATCATTTTCTTTTGGTCATTTTTATATATTTTTATCATTTATATGTTTAAATTAGTATAGTATTTATTTATTTATTTATTTATATATTATTATTTATATTTTTATTCACTAATATTTATATGAAATGCAATATTATAAATTTTTAATTCGATTAGATAACAATGTTTACTTATTTTTAAATATTAAGAAAGGGCAGTCTTAAAGCAACTCGATGTCAATTTTCTGATATTTTAAATAAATAAACATCTTTTTATAATTATATTAATCTATTTTTATTTTATTTTTAGAAAAATGTTTTATATTTATTTATTTTTTAATATCGAAGAAAAGAGCTGTCTTAAGGCACCTAGAAGTCCTTTTCTGATATTTCTTAATAAATAAATATTTTATTTATATAAATTAATAAATTTACTTAAATTATAGTAATAAATTTAAATTAAATATTTTGAATTTTTAATTTTTAATTTTTAATAATAGAGACAATTTATAATTAAAAAGTACCAATTTTGGGCGTTGTAGGGGTGCTAATCCTTCCCTAAACGTAACCGACCACGAATCCCTTTTTATTATTAAAAAGAACGAATTTTTGGTTAAAACGCAGATCAGTTTATCTTTTAATTGATGTTTTCTTAAAAACTCTTTTAAAAGATATTTTTTAGGTATTCGACCTACCTGACCCAAAAGGCCGATGGCGACTCCCAAATTATTTTCAAAACCATTTATTCACATCACTTTTCCCGTCAAGTTAAATTTTTCGTGCCCGGACGAAAACTGGTTACGACAAGATCCATCAAGCTTCTTCTGGGAATCCCCACTGTCCTTAGAGGGTAAGGAAGTAGAACATTCGGCAGACTCTTTTACTTCTTGTACAATCACATTTACATGATCTTGTTGGATGATAGAATGATTGCCATGTAGCTTTTCACACAAAACAAAGAAAGCCTCAATGAAAGGGAGGAGTCTCTGAGTCCCCGGAGGGAGTGGTGACAATAAGGATGTTCCCTGAACATGGTCCCCAACATTCAAATTAGATACGGTTGGACAGAGTGAGCTCTGAGCCAGCTGTGCCTCAGTCATGCCAATGCAATTACTCAATTCTTCCCATAATGGCTCTAATAATTCATTTAATTTCCACATGGTAGCTTCCTCTTCCTGTTCATCATCACCATCCTCTGGTTTATAATCACCAACACTAGTTGAAGTGAGCGAGCTAAGAACTTGTAACACACGTAGAATTGTAGCTCCTGCCATGGAAGCTGCACTCAGACCCAGCATCTGCGTATTCCTCAGTGTTACAAGCTCATTGACAGCCGAACTACTCAAACCATGGGCTAATTCTGAAAGCTCTGTAGTAAAAGACTTGCGATGTGTCACAGCAACTGATGCCAATTTCTTCAGCACCTCACCAGCTAACATAAAAACTTTATCTGACAATCTGAACAAAAAATGACAAAGCAGTGGAAAAGAAACAAAAAGATGTCAGGAAAAAAACGGATTTAAAAAAGCCTGAAAATAAAATCCTAAGTAGCATAAATAACTTTCAACATGTCTTGAGATAAGAATCAGGAATAATACTCCTCACGATCAAGAAGACAGCACAAATTGCACAAATCAGATTCTGGTAACTTCAAGAAAATATTATAAAAATCCACATTTTATTGCCACTGGATCCAGAGGATTCAGCATTGGTCCACTTCTCTTGGTTAGACTCTGGTTCTGTCAAACGGAGGCCCTTGCCAGCATTGCCAGAAGCTTCATTGCTAAGCAGGTTCTGGGAATTTGAATTATCAGCGGTCACATGAGAGAGTGAGCAGCTTTCTAATTTTGATGTACTGCATAGACACTACTTGAAGCAAGCCCACAACCTACACCATAAAACCATATTAAAACAAATAGAACAAATAGGGTTATATCAATATCCAGTTGGAGTAGGAGAGCCAAGCTACAATGTACTAAAATGTTTAGAAGGGCAATAATTTAAGAGTACTGCCTGCTCGAGATGTGCAGTGCTGAGAAAAAACAGCGGCTGGTTCAAGAGCTTAAGAAATAATATTAAAGGAATATCCCCCTGAGTGTTTCCTAAGGGTTTTGATGCATCTCCATCCATAATTTTCTCCTTGCCTTTCTTGGCTTCCGAGTTTTTCGGGCTAAAAGGCTCAGAAAGAATTGAAGGATCATAGTGGAACAACACATTTGCAACGGCAGAATGATTTGTAGCCAAATAAGTCAAAATCTCAAGAACACGACGTAGTACAAGAGGTGGAAGACCTATTGCAACATAAAAAATCAAAGGTAAGATGAGAGAAACAAATGCAGAAAGATACAGTTATATCAGCAGAATCATTACCGTCAACAACTGTGACCGACATAAACAACATTGAATGGCAACCATAAAGCATTTGGGAATTAATTGCTGACAAAGCATTACTTGAGCCTTCAACTTCGGATCTAATCATATCAAGCAACAGCTTTACCAAAGTGGCCCTAGTAACACTATGTGCACAAAGATTTAACAGAAGCCTCTGCAGAAGGCCTTTGCCAAGGGGCTACAAACAGATTGTCGAAACGATTTTTTTCTTAAAAGTGAGAAAAGGGTGAGATTTTGAAAAACACATTAATTCTTAATTATCTCTTTTTAATTTAAAAACAAATGCGATTTAAAAGACCTCTCGTTTCAAAAAAAAAAATTTGGATTTCCTTTACGATCGAAAAATACGGTTCAAAGAGTCGCCACCAATATTTGATTAGGGTGTGATTGGACACCCAAAAATGCTTTGTCATTTTAAATAAAAATTAATTTTAATTAAAACAACAAATTGAGGTCTGCATTACCAAAATCCGAGTTCGGGAGTCGGTTACGTATGGGGAAGGATTAGCACCCCCACAACGCCCTAAATCGGTACCTAGTCGATTAATTAACGTTTTTGTAATGAACTTTACAAATTCGAACTTAATTTGATTTTTTGATCTCATAAAACAAAGATATAAATTTAAAAACATTCAACAGCACTCAAACAAATTAAATTAAAATTACCAAGTCGTTTTAGAAAGATAAAGAGTGTTCGATTATTTACAAATATCGAGACCAGATCTTAAAAGCTATAACAACCTTTTCTCGATAAATTTAAATAAACGAACACTTCCTTTTCTTTCGTTCCCATATTTTAAGTGACGCATCAATTTTTTTGTTTCACTTTCGGGATACACTTTTAATTTAAAATCATCAAAACGACCCTCTAATCAGTTAAGACAGACCACTCAAGACAATTTTAAATTAAAAGGGTATTACCCTTAATCCGATTATGTAATAAGTCGAGTTATACAAATGAGGTTAGCATGCAAATTACAATACCACTAATTAATAAAATGATATAAGTAAACAAAACAAATGTAATTATAGAAAATAATATTTAATACATTAAATATATTAAAAACCAATAAAATTTAATATTCTAATGACTTTTTAAAAGCAATGCTAATATCCGTAAGGTTAATTTATTTAAAGATTTTTTTTTTAAAAAAAACCATTAATAAATATATATATACATATGTTACAAATTACTTAATTATTAACAAAAATTACTTAATATAATTATAATTTATTAAAATCCATGTAAAATCTATTTAATTAAACACTATTTTTTCATAATACCCTTATACGTATATTATCATGATAAAATAATAATAATAACCTAAGGACAAAAAATAAATGGATACATAACTTTGAAATTAAAATCATAAATTTAATATAAATCAAGTCCAAATATATAAACTATCACATTCCATGTACTGAAATTAAAATAAATCCCTAATCTTATATTAGACTAAAATGTAATTCTCAAAATAAATATCATAAATGTATAAAAAATGAAAATTCAAAACAATTAGATTCAAGGGGCTAAAATTAAATACTCACAAAAATTAATGGTAGAATCAGAAGCTAAAAAAAAAAATCAACACATGGACCAAATAATAGTTTCATCCTAAAATATTAATGGCTAAACACTAATTAACCCAAATATCTTAATATAAAAGCTAAATAAAACTAAACCTAAGCTAACTATCACTCCCTGCCGCTCTCTCTTTGCTTTCAACTCTCCCATTTTCGTCTCAAACGACACTGCTTTCCAAACATCACAATACACGGTTGGCTACCCCAACCATCTAGGAAAACACGACAACCTTTTCTTATTTAATCCTCACAACGGTCGCATCGGCCACCACTCGGTGGCCACTCCACTCGACGACAACCATTCAACAAAGAGGAAAACCCAAGCTAAGCCATATAAACCGAGAATCTTGTTTTTATCTTCTCACTCTCTCGACAAGGACCTTAGAAGCTCACTGTCTTCACCCAACCGACTTATCAGATTTACCTCTCCGACGCTCGACAATGAAAACCAAAAGCATAATATTACATAAACAAAGACACCACACCTAAGGTAAGACTACCATTTTCCCTTTATCCTTATATCTCCATTCCAAAGTACTCACATACCCACACACAAATACCATACACTATAGACTAAAACAGAATCGAATATTCTTTAGAAATTTCCATTGATTTTTATAGATATAGAAAAACGCCTCAAATACAAACATGAGTTTTAACACTTACCTTTCCTCTGTTACAAAGGAAAATGAAAAAGGAATTTGTTGTGCTGTCCTGCGTGTAAAAAATGAAAGGAAAAGCCGATCCTTTGATTTCACTGACTTCAATTTATCACCCCTTTTGGTTGTTGATGATTTTTCTCCTTTGTTTGTTTACCATTCTCTCTCCCTGTAATCCTCTCTTTTTTGTCTTTTCTCTATTTCGTCTCGTTCTTCCCTAATTCCTGATCACGCCCCCCTTTGTTTTCTATCCGTTCCCTCCTTTTCTCTATATTTCTCATGGTTGATAGTTTCTAGTGGTTAAAACCCCCTCAAAACTGACCCTCACTCTCTATCTAGTGGTTAATTTTAACTGCTAAAACTGACCCCAATTTCTCTCATCTTTAGCATGCTACTGCTGTCCATCAGTTTGGAGATGGACCTCCATCTGGTTTGGGCTCATCTGGGCTCTCATTGCTTCGGGTCTGCTCCGACTCAGCCCCGGACAGAAACGAGCATCTACAGCTGCCCCTCTTTGTTCATTGTCGTGTAACGAGAATAGAGCAAAGATCAAAAGATGATCGAATTTGTCCGGTCATGAGAACTTCAAAAGATTAAACCACTCACTGTTACGTCAGGATAAATAAGACTTGAAAAATCTTCAAATGACGAGCCTGCTCCCTATTCCTTCAGGAAGTATAAGGCTCGAACAATCTTCATAAAATGTGTATGCTCTCTATTTATTCAGAGAGTATAAGACTTGAACAATCTTCAATAAAACGGGTCCGCTCTCTATTCCTTCAGAGAGTATAGAACTCGGAAAATCTTTAATAAACAGGTCTGCTCCCTATTCTTTCAGAGAGTATAGGACTCAATCTTTAACAAACGTGTCCGCTCCCTATTCCTTCAGAGAGTATAGAACTCGAGCAATCTTCATAAAACGGGTCCGCTCTCTATTCCTTCAGAGAGTATAGAACTCGAACAATCTTCAACAAACGTGTCCGCTCTCTATTCCTTCAGAGAGTATAGAACTCGAACAATCTTCATGCAACGGGTCCGCTCTCTATTCCTTCAGAGAGTAAAGGACTCAATCTTTAACAAACATGTCCGCTCCCTATTCTTTCAGAGAGTATAAGACTCGATCTTTATAAAATATGTCCGCTCCCTATTCCTTCAGAGAGTATAGGACTCGATCTTCATAAAATGAGTTTGCTTCACTAATCTACCGTGAAGGCTTACAGATGGTTTACTTCACTACTCTTCCGTGAAGGCTTAAGATTGACCTGTTTCGAAGGTCCAACCTGAAAATCAAACATTATCAATCATTAATGTATGTTTGAAAATATTATATTCAAAAATTTAGAATTTGATAAAATTTCTGAAAATCCATCTCCATCGTGAAAACTTGTCTGGAAGCCATTGGATATGCGGATCTATTTTGGCTCAATCGTCATCTAAACATCATTCTTTTCAAGATTTCAAAACTAGTTATCCTTATCTTGATGTTTCCATATCTTCAATCTTCAATTATCCCTGAGAAACCTGTAGATATTTAAGTCATCATGCAATTATGAATGCCATGATCCTATTCATGTCTAAAATGTATGCAATTATGCAATTCAATGTCTGTCCATCTTCGAATGAACTCTATCTCCTTTTGATCTCAATGGAACTCAGTTTCGTCTTGGGCACAGAACGTCTGACCAATTCACCCCAATTGACAATCTCAATACCATATCATTCGATTTAACAAGACCTTGACTTCTTTGTTTTCTGAAAACCCACCGGTACCCATAACCAACTTCTTGATTAATGACAATCTCCTTGGGTCATCTTTTACTGGCTGTGATTTTCTATGAATTTCAAGATTTTAGTTTCCTGTAGCCACACAAGTGTACATGTATAAACCATTGTCAGCTTCAGAATACCTGTATTTTCCAAAACCTTTTGCACAATAATACAAAATTATCTCATGTACTTCAAGTTAAGCTATATGTTTTAACTTTTCAAAATAAGATACTTACAAGAGGGAAACGAACAAGGAAAGACATCTCTTTATTTATATAAATGTCGAGAATTTTCAGGTAACTACATGGCAAACTTTTAACTGGAAACAATAAAAGAACAAAAGAGTAGGCGTCTTCAAATATCATTAATGCAAATGCTTTTGAACTGGCACGCCGTTAGAATGTCTCGAGTGTAGCTTCTGTAAAAAAGATCTCCAAAATTGTGATGCTTAAGAGTATGAAGCTGCTTCTAAACTCCCAAATCTCTATCATTGGATGCCCTAAACAAGTATTGAATCTCATGTGCATTCAATTTCTCTTGGTTATTTTAATCGAGACTCATTAATCTTTAGTCTCATCCCTGATCACCAACTGTCATTGTTACTATCCATATCAGGATCTCTTTCCACTTCCAGAATTGATTCAGAACCTCCACCATGCACGAATTCTGAATTTCAAACTCAACTCAAGTCGCCCTTTGCGGGTTTTCAACTTGAGACCTCATTTGGTTCCAAGGCGCCCTTTTCGGGTTTTCATCTTGAACCCTCCTTTTATTTCTCTTTTTTTTTCATTTTTCTCTTTTTTCATTTTTCATTTTTTCTTCTATTTTCCATTTTTCTCTTCTCTTTTTTTCTTTTTGTTTTTTTCATCATTTTTCTTTTTTCTCATTTTTCTTTTCTTCTTTTTCTTCTTCTCATTTTTATTATTTTTCATTTTTTTCATTTTTTCTCTTTTATTTCTTCTTCAAGCAAAATATCTCTTAACAACATCGGAATTCACTGGATATGGTAATTCTGATCCGTCCATTTCAGTTAGGAATAGAGCTCCCCCAGAAAAGGCCTTCTTGACAACATAAGGTCCTTCCCAATTGGGTATCCATTTTCCTCTGAAATCCTTCTGAATAGGCAAAATCCTTTTAAGCACCAAATCTCCCTCATGGAATTCTCGAA